GCAAACTCTGACTTTTTTTCCTTTTCGTCAGAAGACTTGATAAGACAGTAAAAGCTGAGGCGGCCAGACCCCATGTCAGGCAGAAGCCTGTTGGAGAGAGAACACTCTTCCCACACCAACAAGGGAGAAAGTGGTAAGGTCACACCTTCTCAAAGGTGGGAAGTTTTCAAGACCCAGAAAAGCAAGGCACTCCTGTTGGTTTCAGCTCTCCCTGTGTACTTAGACCTAGTCTAAACTGTACTTAGACTTTTCACAGTCTAAGTTGTTGGGGAGTGCTTAGGCAGTTTTCCTCCCTCAGGTTAATAAAAACTATACCAGACCAAGTTGTGGCTAAGGAAAGAAATTCTATACTCTAATTCCATTTGTCACCCATCAGACATGAAAACTTCTAGAATCTCTCAAGAGACACTCTTCCAATGGATTCCATCAGAAAGTCAGGCCAAGGAAGAGGTTAGACAGGACCCATTTCTGGGCAATCCTCAGCATGTCGGCAGTGTGCTATTTCTTAGGGCTTGTCATTTCCACCAACTCTTACACCGAGGAGTTCCAGCTGTTGCACCAGCTGCTCAGGCATGGAATCCACCCATCACACCAGGGTTGCCTCCATGATGTTATCACAGAGACCAGAAGTCTCCTAATTCCAAGAATTCGGGTAGCATAAACCTCATTTTCCTAATTTATAACTCTTGAAAGCCATGTTTATTGGACTAATTGCTTTTACTCCTTTGTGGGCTATGAAAAATAAAATATAAATCCTTTTAAAAAATGCATCTTTCAAATACTTACCCCCTCCCCACCGCCCAACTTTCTGATACTTCAAATAAAATAAAATAAACACATTAAGCTTCCTTTTGGGGGGGAAATTATTTTCATCAAAGAAAAGAAATACAGGGTTTATTCTCCTTACAAATATGGCTTAACACTTCCTTCAGTGATCCTCCCCAAAACGAGCTGAGGAACAATCAAGTAACATACTCCACCTTCCGCTTCTACCAGGAGAATGTTACTTTCTACAGCAGTGGTTCTCAACCTGTGGGTCCTGACCCCTTTCATAGGGATCACTCGATTCATAACAGTAGCAAAATTAGTTATGAAGTAGCAACAAAAATAATTTTACGGTAGGTGGGGTGGGGGTCACCACAACATGAGGAACTGTATTAAAGGCTGAAGGCATTAGGGAGGTTGAGAACCCCTGTTCTAAAGTGTCAAGTGAGCCTTACTTCCCATCTATACCTGACAAACCCTTTCCTTTGCGGTTGCTAGGTGTTGCTGAGTCAGTTCCGATTCATAGAGATCCTGTGTCGCTGGGCAGCACAAAACACTGCCCGGTTCCAACTCATCCCTCTACCCTACGTACAACAGAATGAAACCATGGGCCATCCCGCAGTTATCTAAAATACCTTTTCTTTGGTGATAATGAAATCAAGTTACGTTCATTGGCCACTATTTCACATCATTAAGACAATTATAGCACAGCATTTTTTACAGGGATTCTTCGGTTTTTATGCAAATCTGTTGCTATCAACATGTATCGCCTTTCCAATTTTTTTTTGCATAAGCTACCAGCTTTGAAATGTGTATACTCATTTCAGTGACAGGAAATCTCCTTTGAAAAAAATCTCTCATTTTAAGATGCTCTTACATTTCTTTCACAGCTACCAAATGATTTTTCTTTGTGATTACTACCTTTCTGACTTTTTCCCTTCTTTATAAACAAACACACCGGCGCTCTGATCACTGCTCTGCCCCCCTCTCCGAGTGTGGCCGGATACTAACGTGTCAGAGGGCCGAAGAGCACCACGTCCAGCGCCTTGAGCTGAAGCTTCTGCCTGTGACTCCGGTCAATGATCTTCAACTGAGTGACCATGAAGGACGGCTCGTGCACAGCTATCCTGTTCATTAAAGAAATGCAGATGCATTCAGTGAGAATACTTGTGTACATTCGTTTATTTACTTGGTCAACACATTTCAGTGTTTCACATATGTGATTATTGTAAGAGTTCGGTGTGTGAGTTATTGAATAGTTGATCACGTGTATCCAGAACCTTACCAGTGCAAATTTAGCTACAGAAAGACCCTTGTATGTCAACAGCTTAGTGGCTAAAGATTGTTATATTTTGGCTTTCCAAGGTTGGTCTCTATTATAACTTACAGTGAACCCTCGTTTATTGCGGTTAATCGGTTCTAGACCCTACGGTGATAAATGAAATTCCGCGAAGTAAGATTCCTTATTTGTAAATCAAATATTTTCGTAGTTAGAGCATAGAGGATATGAAAAAACACCCTTTAGTCACCATTACACTCGTATTACCCAATTTATTAAACGAAAAAGGGAAAATACAGTAAAACATTTTGGACGTTACAAATATCATTTATTATATTATTTATGGCATCTAGTTTACAGTATTACATATTTCACATACAGTATTATTATACATAGTTCTTACAAATACTGTAATTAATAGCCTATGAAATGACTTAAGGGATGTACTCTACAGGTGGGTAGCCGTCTTTTTCCTCTGAAGGAGCGGGTATAGGCAGTGGGTGCTGTTACGCAAAAACCGCAATAGAGTGAAGCCGCGGAAGTCGAAGCGCGAAGTGGAGAGGGTTCACTGTATTATGATTTAGAAATGTCTCAATTTCAAAATGTTTTATAAGCAATATTTGCCTCTGGCATTTTCCTTTTTTTTTTTTTCCTCACAAGAACAATAAAATTATAAGTAACAACTTAAAAAAAAAAAAAGACTTTTCTAGTTAGATATCACTCTTCTGCAGAAGTACCTAAATCATTGGTACCTTTACATTCAAATAGTTAAACTGCTTAAAAGTTAAAGCACCCTAGCCCCATCAGTGGGAAGTAAGAAGTCATCCAGGGTAGGTTCAGAATGTATGTAATAAGTACAAACCATTTGGTGAGCGTTTATTTAATTCAGAAGAAAGCATGGGGTTGGGGGTGGACAGGGAAAAGGATACAGGTGAGAAAAGGAAGCAAAGTCGCTTTGCTCAGTATATTCAAGCCATCCAGGACTCAACTAAGGTTTCTTAAGAATTAAGTATGATGCCGCATAACACAAAGCCTAACAATGACAATATAATCGTTAATAAAACATATATTAAAAACAAGCATGCATTATGTAGCAGGCCTTTTGCCAGAACCTTAGCTATAATATCTCATTTCAGAGATGAGAAAACTGAGGTTCTGCGAGGCTCACTTGGCCAAGTTTACGTAATCAGTAAGTGGTTCTAACTCGAATTCGTAGTACTCCGAAGATGACGAAGCACTTAGGGAGCAAGCGAGACCTCGAAGTAGGAAGAGCTGACAGGACCTCCTATGAGGCAGACGACTGCTAAGTTTCCCTTTACAAAATGCCTTCCTTCAGCTCTCCCACAAGTCCTCTTCCAGGAGGTGTAACAAGACACTTAGCAAACTGCTGGGAGGCAGAAAAAACTACGGCTCACCCCAAGGCCTAGCCTGGTGCTGAGCCATGCTAGAGGTCTGCTAAATGTTGGCACAATAGCTGGAAGATGCATGGATGGGTGCTTGAATGAAGGAAGAGCAACACTGTGGACAGACAATCTAAGAGAGATGATGAGATACAATGATAAGGAAACCAGAGGACAGGGCTTTATGCAAGGTGCATTATGAGCCCAGAGGCAGAAGTGATATTTCCTGAGCCCTGAAGGTGGCGGGCAAGGCCACACAGGGCTGAAAAGACTGAGGAGGTGAGTGTCAGGTGTGGAGAAGGTGAGCAGAGGTTAGAAGCACCACGCAGAGTAGAAAACAGTCAAAGTTGAAGATCAATCTATTGCCGTCCAGTCAAGTCCACTCACAGTGAACCTTTCGGGCAGTGCTAAGTCTTCTGGGAAGAAAACTGCTACATCTTTTGGTGGGTTGGAACGGCTGAGCCAAGGCCTTCACCACTGAATCCCCAGGGTTCCTTCAGCATCAGATAACCCTTGGGAGTAACTAATGCATAGAGTTGGCCACCTATAGCAAATGGAACAATGTTTGAGAATCACAGAAAAGAAACCTAATCATGGGTTGCTGCAGGCCCGCTTCTGGAACTTGCGATCTACTTTCTTATACTTTCCAGTACACAGCTCTCACTTCTACAGTTAGCACAGAAAAAGCCGTCTCTCATATAACTTCATTGGTATCAACCCTTTACGTTGCCTCATTTAACCGTCACTTCCCTATAAAAGAAGCTTGGTCGGTGTCATCTTACTTTTCATTTCTCCTCCACAGAAAAAAGGCTCCATTGAGCTGACCTGACAACTGAACTTCCACATGTATGCTCGATGCATGTTCCCTATCTAAAATTAACCCTGATGATGCCGTAATTTGGAATTACTTTTTTTTTTTTACACTTTGACTTCTACTCCCTTAAATTTTTTACCTTCATCCAAAAAAGGGACTAAACATAAACCAAAACAAACTCACTGCCAGGCAGTCAGTTCTGACTCTGACCCTCCACGACAGGGTAGAACTGCACCTGTGGGTTTTCAAGACTGCAAATCTTTGAGGGAGTAGAAAGCCTCATCTTTCCCCCATATGGAGCGGCTTGTGGTGTCAAACTGCTAACCCTGATATCAGCAGGCCAACTTGTAACCATTACATCACCAAGCCTCCTTGACTAATACCTAAGATACCCTCTTTTATGCCATGCTGCTTTTTTTTTTAAATCATTTTATTAGGGGCTCATACAATTCTTATCACAATCCATACACACATCAATTGTGTAAAGCGCAT